CATAGAGAAGTAGAATTTAAGGTTTGCCCTGATGGCTTTCAATCTTGCTTTGATCCAGTATCTTCTTACTTTACTCTGCTTTCTCTGTTTTGGAATGGTAATGTGTAGTCTATATGTTGGAAGTATGTGACTAGTTTTTTGATTTTGCTTTTACTATGAGTCACAGTTAGAAGATTGACATGAGTCTCAAAAGAAACTTTGAACTTTTAAACTATCAGTTGAGAGTGATAGACTGTGAGAACTTTTGAACTTGAACTGGATACATTTTCTAATTATGATATGGTTATAAGCCTTTGGGGGCCAGGGAGCGGAATGTAGTAACTAGAAGACGAATGACCCCTATAGACTTATATATTTGAATGTTTAGACACAAGAGATTGTGACCATTTGAAAATATTAAAAGGTACACATCTTAAGCTGGTTTTGTGTGTCAACTTGACACAAGCTAGAGTTATTAGAGAGGGTGGAGACTTAGTTGAGAAAATACTTCCATGAGATCCAGCTATAAGGCTTTTCTTAAGTAGTCATCAATAGGGGAGAGCCCATCCCATTGTAGGTGGTGCCATTTCTGGGCTAATGGTACTGGGTTCTATAATAAAGCAGGCCATAAGAAGAAAGCCAGTAAGCAGCACCCCTCCATTGCCTCTGCATCAGTTCCTGCCACCAGGTTCCTGCCTCATTTGAGTTCCTGTCTTGACTTCTGGATGAACAGCAACGTGGAACTATAAACTTAATAAGCTCTTTCTTCCCCAACTTGCTTCTTATTTGTGGTGTTTTGTTGCAGCAATAAAATGCTAAGTAAGACAGAAGATATGGCCTTATTGGAGGAAGTGTATATGAGCTTTGAGATTTCAAAAGCCCATGCCAAGCCCAAAGTCCTTATCAAGGAAATTTTTCTTTGCAACAGACAGACCACTACACAAAACTACATCCAATCAAAATGCAGGGTTGTTGGGCCGAGTCTCAGTATACACATCTACAGAATTTCATTGCACCAAAGACTCAGGAAACAGTGCAGAGGGTGGGGTGGGGTGCAGAATAAGAGCCAGTTTGTTGTAAGATCATGTCTCCTAGTAATATCAGAATCCCTGCCCATAAAGTCTCAACCATCATAACTGTCCAAATGTGAGTTGAATGAGTAGACACCTATGGACACGCCAAAATGAACGGGGAAAGACCATAGAACCTCAACTTTACACAGAGAACTGAAGAAAGCTGAGAGTAGAAAAGTGGTCAATCTTTGGAGGGAAGAATATGGCAATTGGTTGTCCAGTGCCAAACAACTAGACTTGAAAGCATAATGTAGCATTATAAAGACGGAACAGTTTATATTTAGGAATATATATGTATGTACATACACATGCACGCATGTAATAATAATTGGTGCAAAAAGAAGTCATGAATTTGAGGGAAAGCAAGGTGGGGTATGTGGGAGAGTTTGGAGGGAGGAAAAGGAAGAGAGAAAGGTTGTAATCATATCACAATCTTAAAAATAAAATGTTAAAAAGATTTTTATATGCTCCATGTAATTGTGTTTCCATGAACCAATTTACTCAGGGAAATGCCTGTCTTGGCAAGACAGCAAGTGTCTAGCAAAGACTATGAGTGGAAATTCTGTTCATTGGAGCATAGCTACTCAGTTTTATCATATTACTCTTAACACGGTACACCTGACTTTGCAGTTTTCAGAACACCCCCATATCCTTGCATTCAGAGCTTTTCAAACTTCAATGTGCATATGTTTGTTAGTGAGACTATAATTTAGTATATCTGAAGTTCTGTATTTCTAGCTGGATCCCAGTGCTACTGATAGTGCTGGTCTGTGGGCTACACTGCAAGTAGTGAGGACTTAGAGAATCCAAGGTGATAGATTACATCATCTCTATTTTTATAGCGGAATATTCTCAGGGGTGAACAAAGATGGGGGTGGGGAGTAAAAGGTGTGTAGGCATATCAGGACCTGTCCAGTCCTGAAGGAAGGAGAAATGAAGCTGTCCTGCATGCCCACCCATCCATTGTAGACTGTGTGAACGTGGAGACATCATTTGCAGTTTCTGACTTTCAGATAGCTGGGCAATGAGACAGGAGAATGACAACATTGGCATCACAGCTGCTTCAGGCCACAGTAATGAGAGGACTCACAGGGAGGTCTTAGCTGTGCATTATGATTGCCTATAGTCAATCCCGAGAAAGCCTCTGTAGTAGTTACTTTTTGTATTGCTGGGCTAAATACCCTGACAAGGGCAACTTAGAAAACATAGTACTTGCAAATATCCATAGCTGCCTGGGGGGTATTTATGGTTCTATCAGTGTTTATTGAAGTGGATATCACAGAATTATTAGGATACTACAGAATGAAATCATTCTTAAAGGGAAATTGTACTGACATTAAGCCATGGAATCTTGTAATTACTTGTGATGAAAGTTTGCATTGGATATAGTCAGCATAGTGATATTCTGCATCCCTGAGGCTTCCCAGATTGGGCATCTCAAGATTGCTTATCATTATTAAAGTCTTACAGAAACTATGAAAGATGGCTTTGCAGGAAGGCACTGAGTCTACCCAAGCTTTTCTTCTCTTCCTTTCTCCCTTCCTCCCTTCCTCCCTTCCTCCCTTCCTCCCTTCCTCCCTTCCTCCCTTCCTCCCTCCCTCCCTCCCTCCCTCCCTCCCTTCCT